TACCTGTCATCCACATTAACATTATAGAATATTATCACTACCTTAGAAGATAATCTATGGTCCTCCCTGATTTCATCCTTCTGCCTGACCCTCAGGAAAATCCATAATCCTGACTGTATTAGTCAGCTTGGGCTGCCGTAACAAAATGCCAAAGATTGGGTGACTTAAGAGAAATTTATTCTCTCATAGTTCTGGAGGCCTAGAAGTGCAAGATCAAGGTGGCAGCAGGTTTTGATTCTTCATAGACTTTGCTTCTTGGCTAGCAGATAGTCATTTTCTCACTATATATTCACATAGCCATCTCTCTGTGCAAACATGCCTGCTGTCTTTCTCTGTATCTTAATCTTATACTGGACACCAGTCAGATTGGATTAGGTCCCACCCTAATGATCCCATTTTAAGTTAATTACCGCTTTAATGGCCCTGTCCAAATACAGTCACATTCTGAGGTACTGAGGGTTAGAGTTTCAACATATGAATTTTGAGTGGACACCATTGAGCCCATCTTTAACACTGAGTTTTGTATCAATTATACTTGCTATGATGTGAAAGTTTGTGTCCCTCCGCAAATTCATACGTTGAAACTTAATCTCTAAGGTTATGGTATTAGGAGGTGGGACCTCTGAGAGGTGATTAGTAGATGGGACCTCTGGGAAGTGTATTAGTGCCTTTATAGATGTGGCCCAAGAAAGCTTCCTTGACCCCTTCTACCATGTGAGGATGCATTGGAAAAGTGGAGGCAGACTTTCCCCAGATGCCTCATTTGCCAGTGCCGTGATTGGGACTTCCATCCTCTAAAGCTGTGAGAAGTAAATTTCTGCTGTTTATAATGCCCCCGTCTTTGGCATTTTGTTACAGCAGTTCAAACAGATGGGCTGCTTTGGACTCCGCATTGCCTTTTAGTCAACGGGCAAAGAGTGATCATGACTATCAAGGGGGATAATTGGACTGCTGTTCCACAGCAGGGCAAGGAAGAGTATGTCTAAAATACAGGCAATCCCAGGGTGCCTGGGTGGCACAGTTGGTTAAGTGGCCAACTCTTGATTTTGGCTCAGGTCATGATCTCAGGGTCATGAGATCAAGCCCTGAGTCAGGCTCTGAGCTCAGCATGGAGTCTGCCTGAGATTCTCTCTGTCCCTCTCCCTCTGCCCCTCCTGCTCATGGTGTCTGTCTGTCTGTCTCTCTCAAAAATAAAATAAAATAAAATCTTAAGAAATACACAGGCAATCCCTTAGGGCCTCTCTTAACATTACCGTGCCTTGTGATTAAGTGAATGGAAAGCTATAACAACCCAATCCAGGGAGGACTGCCAATGACCTAGACCCCTCAGGAATGAAGGTTTAGGTCACTCCATCAGGTAAAGCTGCATGGTCAGCTGAGGTGCTTGCTGAAGGCAAAGGGAATATGTAATGGGTAGTGGAAGAAGGTAGTTATAAATGCCAGCTATGACCACATGATCAGTTATAGAAACAGGGATTATAACTGTCATGAGTATTTCCTCATTTTGTTATGGATCCATATGTGTGTGTGTGTATATAAGCAAATATCTTTGTTTTCTTTACTGTCCTATTCCCTTATCATATAACATAAGATGTATCAACTTTGTATCAGTATTTAACTATTGCTAATTTTATATCAGAGTATTTAAGTTGCGGGATATCAGGAGAAGAGTAAACATCATTGAAAGAAGTTTACTTCCTCTTATGAGGAAGGGGTTAGGGCATTTTTGGTTTCCCCTGGGGTAGTTGTATTGTGTTCGGGAGAATTATGACCTGGTTATTCTCTTTATTTGCAGATTAAGCATGGTTTAAAGAGATATGTATGGATGTTAAATTGACAAGGGATGGAACTGTGATGGTTAATTTATGTGTCCATTTTCCTGGGCTATGGATGCCCAGATAGCTGGTCAAACATATTTTCTAGGTGTATCTTTAAGGGTATTTCTTGAAGAAATTAGCATTTGAACTGATGAACTGTCTGAACAAAGCAGATGACCCTCCCCAATGTGAATGGGCATCATCTAATTTGTTAAGGGTCTGAATAGAAGAAAAAGTTAGAGAAAGGGCGGATTCACTCTCTTTCTCTGCTGGAGCTGACACCTCCATCTTCACTTATCCTTGGACATTGGTACAACTGGTTCTCAGCTTTTTGGACTCTGATGGGGCTGTGATTAGACCATGAGGCCTTTGGTCTTGGACTGGATTGTGCCACCAGCTTTCCTCATTCTTCAGCTTATAGATGGCAGATTGTGGGATGCCTCAACTTACATAACCTTGTGAGCCAATTTTTGTAATAAATTTCTTCTCATATAGCTATATATATCATATTGGTTCTGTTTCTCTGGAGAACCCAGACTAATACAATGCCCTTGTTTTACTGTATATACATTTATCACTTGTCTTAATGTAGGCCGCTATAACAAAATGCCATAAACCGGGTGACTTATAAACAGCAGAAATTTATTTCTCACAGTCCTGGAGGCTGGAAGTCTGGGATCAGGGATCCAACATGGTTGGGTTCTGCTAAGAGTTCTCTTCTGGCTTGTACACTGCCAATTTCTTATTGTATATTCACGTGGTGGAGAGACGAGCAAAAGAAGGAAGCTCTCTTGTGACTCCAGTGAAGGCATTAATCCCAGTCATGAGGGCTCCACCCTTATGACTTCATCTAATTCCATATCTCTCCCAAAGGCTCCACTTCCCAATACCATCACACTGAGGGGTAAGGTATCAACATATGAATGCGGGGGGGACACATTCAGTCTAGAGAACCACCTATGTATATCTACATGAACGGTACTTAGTTTTGCCAATTTTTGAACTATTAATGGAACCATGACTGTATTCTACCGAGACTTGCTGTTATTATTCCTTTGAGATACATGATTGATTTCCACTGCAGTTTTAGATTTTATTGCATGAATATACCCCAATTTATGTATTTATTATTAATGACATCTGGTTGTTTCTCGGGTTTTTTTTTTTTTGGTATTATGAACATTGCTATTTGGAACCTTCTTGGACATGCTTTCTGGTGTATATTTGCAAGAATTTTCGGGACGCCTGGGTGGCTCAGTTGGTTAAGCGTCTGCCTTCAGCTCGGGTCATGATCCCAGGGTCCTGGGATTGAGTCCCGCATCGGGCTCTCTGCTCCACGGGGAGCCTGCTTCTCCCTCTCCCTCTGCCTCTGTCTCTCTCTCTGTCTCTCATGAATAAATAAATAAAATCTTAAAAAAAAAAAAAAGAATTTTCCTAAGCTTTTGTACAGTAAAAGAGAGAACTTCTGGCTTAGGGGATTTGTGTACAGTCAATTCTACTCAAGGTGCCTTTTATTTCTAGGCCCATTTTAATTTATTTTTTCACTCAATGACAGATGCTTCCAGTTGTTTCTCAAGTGACATCCCCCCTTTTTTCCTTTAGGAGAACCTTCATTTTTAGCTGAGTATATTACCACTAAGAATAGAGAATTTATTCTCAGCCCCCTGGGTAACATGAAAGCATAAATGTTGGTCGGGACTTTGTGGAAGGCTGCTTAAAGAATGCAAGTTTCCTGAGGACACCATCGGCTTCCATACCAGCTCTGGATTTCCAAACTGTGGACTTCAACATGAGAGAATAAATCTTGGTGTGTTTAAAAGCACGATCTCTCAGTCTGGGGACTTGCAGCGAAACACAGTTCCTAACTGAACACACTTTCAAATTTAATTTGATAATCTTGTTTCTGATATTTCAGCATGCAAAAAATATTTTAAATTTTCAGTTTGTTATCTCTCAAGTTGGATGATTCAGTGATACCTCTTAGAGAAAAATCTTTATTTTGAAACATCAGTTGTTATCCCAAGGAATAGGAGATCTTTGATAGGAACACTTGTTAGTCCCTAGGAAACGATAGCGGTTTTCCATTTAGCAGGAAGTCTCTGCCTTTAATAAGCCTTTCCATGCAAAGGATTACAGAGGACGATGTAATTATTACCAAGAAGTTATGATTAATCTCGCTGCACATTTTTCCCGTCTCCCTTCATAATTAACCACTAGTGCTATTTTTTTTATCATTTTATGGTTCTAAAATATGATTCATAAGCAATATATTATTAGATTTACTTGTTTGGAGTCCATAAAATGGTAGGTTACTGTATTTTGTCTTTTGGGATCTGCTTTTTTCTCTCAAAATTAGGTTTCCAAGATTCATCCATGATTTAATGGGTCACTAAAGGCATGAATTAAGGTATAATTAGCTGTCATAATAGACAAACCCTGAAATCTCAATATTATAACACAATAGTTCATTTCTCGCCTGCAGAAAGTCTAAAAAGCACATGCTTTAATAGTGGATGGCTCTCATCTAAGTGGTGAATCAGGAACTTAGAATTCCTTCATCTTATCCTGTGCTATCCTCCACATATGGCTTCCTGGGTCACCATACTTATCTTCCCCCAAGCTGTTGAGGGAGGAAAAACATGCAGGACATTTCTGTAGATTATGACTGGAAATGAGACACATCACTTCCTCTGACGTTCCATTTGGGAAAGCTCAGTCGTATGGTGTGGCAGCCATGGAGATGTGCTTTTCATATCTCCCTCCAGCACAGAAGCTGCTGGAAGGAATTCAGTGAGCTGATGTCTTCCAGCTGCAGCACCTTTATTATCTATCCCAACATTTGAGCTAAGCCCATCTTCCCAGGCAGTTCCCAGCCAGTGACTCAGCACAGCAAGTGTACAAGGACCTGGACATTGCTGCCCCGTGCAGAATTTATCTATGGGCAATCTTTGTGCTGGAACTTCACATTGGGCTGCCCAAAACTTTCTCAAGGCTGCACTGCTGTCTGATATTCTTTTTACGCACAATCCTGTCTTCCCCTCTCCTTTCTCATTGGTCTGATCTGTGTCATGATTTGAAGGCTTTCCCTACCTACTCTTGCTCTGTCTGCCATTTCTTGTTCACAGGGCTCACCCTCAATAAAACTCTTGTATGCCTAATTCCACCATTGTGTTGTCTTCTCAGAGAATTCCAAATGATACCCATGATCACACATAAACATAAGTGAGGCTGGAAAATGCAGTTGAGCTGTATGACCAGAAAGAAGAGGAAAGAGGTGCAATGATCAGCTAATCAGTACGTGCCATAATTTACCTGTCATTTTTATTGATATATGATAATCCTTTTACAAATATACCACAATCTATTTTATTCATTTTCCTATAAATGGACAATTGGGTTTTTCTGAGTTTTGGGTTTTTTGTTTTTTTTTTTTTTTTACAATTACAAGTATTGCTGCCATGAAGAATCTTACATGTATTCTGGAGCATAGTTTTGAGAGTTTCCTTTAGTCATAGGTACTTACAGGTAGGATTGTTAAAATGTAAGATGTACACATGTTCAACTTTGTAAGATGATGCCCAATTATTTTCCAAGAAGCTGTATCAATTTATATGCATGGTAGCAATGTATAAGGGTTCCCTTTGATCTACCCTCCCTTCTTCATTAGTTTGTTACACTCTTAATTTTTGCCATTATTCCAAAAAATAAGATAACTTTGGAAATATATAACAGTTTTCCTCTGTCCTCCATATGTTCTAGGATCTGGTACAGAAGCTTTATAAACATTTGTCCCAGTGGGGCACCTGGGTGGCTCCATCAGTTAAGTGTCTGACTCTTGATTTCGGCTCAGGTCATGATCCCAGGGTTGTGAGATTGAGCCCTGTATTATGCTCTGCACCGGGTGTGGAGCATGCTTAAGAGTCTCTCCCTCTCCCTCTGCCCCCCCACCACACATGTGTGAGATCTCTCTCTCAAAAAAAGAAAAATTGTCCTAGTATAGCTAGCCCCTCTCTCTTAGCTCATTCTTAACATTCATCCCACTCATGTTTGTCTATGGTAGTTTTTTTTTTTTTCATTGCTACCATTCATCATTTTTTGCTTCCACATCAAGCATTCTTTGCTTTGTCTGTCTCTTTTAATACTCCCTAATTCTTTCATTATTAAAAACAAGATTTCATCTGACATTTTCTTTTGATTAAGATTAATCTCAGAACTCTCTTACTTAAAGAGAATTAAGGTCACATTAAATAAATAGAGGAAACTGGAGAAAAGGGAGCCACATAATGCACATAAACCAGCAAAACTCCATGGTTCTCCCATTCTCATACCCAACTCTCTGAATATATACATATATAAATATACACACACGAGTGTGTATATGATGCATGTGTCTATATATGATTGGGTAAATATATACATGTGTGTTAATACTTGCATATGTTATACACACAATACTATAACATTGATAAATATATATGCCTTATTTATTTGTGTATTATGTTTATGAATGCTACAGATATATGTGAGATAGGTAGATAGATTGATTCAAGGTACCTAACACAATGAAAAGTTATATGCCAAACATGTTGGCGTGTTGGACAACCTAGAAGAAATGGATTAATTCCCAGAAATCAACAACCTGCTAATACTGAATCATGAAGAAATCGAAAATCTGAACAGACCAACTACTTGTAGGGAGATTGAATCAGTAACCAAAATCTCACAAGAAAGTAAAGTCCAGGATCAGATGGCCTCACTGTTGAATTCTACCAATTATTTAAAGAAGAATTAATACCAGTTCTTCTCAAACTTTTTCAAAAAATGGAAGAGAAAGGAACAATCCAAACTCATTTTATGAATCCAGAATTACTTTGATGCCAAAGACTGACAAGAATACTACCAGAAAAGGAAATTACAGGCCAATAACCCTGATGAACATAGATGTAAAAATCCTCAACAAAATATTAGCAACCCAAATTCAACACTATATTTAAAAGATCATACACCATTATCAAGTGGAATTTATTCCAGGGATACAAGGTTGGTTCAACATACACAAATCCATAAATGTGAAGCATATCAGGAAGGATAAAAATCATCTAATTATTGCACTTGATGCAGAAAAAGCATTTGACAAAATTCAACATCCTTTCATGATAAAAACTCTCAATAAATTTAGAAGAAATGTATTTTGTACAACAAAATAAAGGCCACATATGAAAAGACAACAGCTAACATCATACTCAGTGGTAAAAATCTGAATCTTCCTCTAATATCAGGAAGACAAGGATGCCTACTCTTGACACTTTTATTCAACACAGTACTGGAAGTCCTAGCCAGAGCAATATGCAAGAAAAATAAATTAAAGGCAGCAAAATCAGAAAGGAAGAAGTGAAATCGTCTCTGTTTGCAGATGACATGATATTTTATATAGAAAACCCCGAAGATTATGTCAAAAATCTGTTGGAACTAATAAACAAATTCAGTAAAGTTGCAGGATACAAAATCAATCTACAAAAATCAGTTGCATTTCTATACACTAATAAGAAACTGTTGGAAAGAGAAATTAAGAAAATAATTCCATTTACAATAGCACCATAAAGCATAAAATACTTAGAAATAAATTTAACCAAGGTGGTGAAAGTTCTGTATACTGAAAACTCCAAAATAATGATGAAAGAAATTAAAGATGACACAAATAAATGGAAAGATATTCCATGCACATGGGTTGGAATAATTAATATTGTTAAAATGTTTATACTACCCAAAGCAATCTACAGATTCAGTGCAACCCCTATCAAATTCCAATGGCATTTTTCACAGAAATAGAAAAAAATGCCTAAAATTCATATGGAACCAGAAAAGCCTCTGAGGAACTAGAGCAATCTTGAGAAAGAACAAAGCTAGAGGAGGCATCAACTTCCTGATTTCAATGTGTATTACATAGCTTGAGTAATCCAAATAGTGTGGTATTGGAATAGAAACAGGCACAGAGATAAATAGAGCAGAATAGCACCATGCGTGTATGGTTGATTAATTTTTGACAAAGGAGCTAAGAATATACAGTGGAGAAAGTATAGTCTCTTTAACGAATGATATTAGGAAAACTAATACAGCTACATGTGAAAGAATGAAACTGGCCCTCTATCTTACACTATACACAGAAATCAACTTAAAGTGAATTAAAGACCTGAATGTAAGACCTGAAACCATAAATCTCCTAGAGGAAAATAAAGGGAGTAAGCTCCTTGATATTGGTCTTGTCAATGACTTTTTTCTTTTTTGGTGTGACACCAAAAGCAAAGATAACAAAAGGGACTATATCAAAGTAAAAAGCTCTTCACAGCAAAGGAAACCCAACTATCAACAAAATGAAAAGGCAGTATATGGAATGGGACAAAATATATGCAAAGCACATATCTGAAAAAGTGTTAATAGACAAACTACACAAGGAACTCCTACAACTCGGGACACCTGCGTGGCTCAGTCATTAAGCGTCTGCCTTCGGCTCAGGTCACGATCCCAGGGTCCTGGGATCGAGCCCCACATCGGGCTCCCTGCTCAGCAGGAAGCCTGCTTCTTCCTCTCCCACTCCCCCTGCTTGTGTTCCCTCTCTTGCTGTGTCTCTCTCTGTCAAATAAATAAATAAAATCTTAAAAAAAAAGGAACTCCTACAACTCAATAGTAAAAGAATCCCACAAATTACCCAGTTAAAAAATGGGCAAAGGATTTAAATAGATATTTTTTCCAATGAAGACACACAAATGGGCATCACGTAAAGGTGCTCAACATCACTAATCATCAGGGAAATGCAAATCAAAATCACAATGAGCTATCACCTCACACCTGTTAGAATGTCTATTATCAAAAAGATGAGATAACAAGTGTTGGTGAGGATGTGGAGAAAAGGGACTCCTGTACACTGTTGGTGGGAATATAAACTGGGGCAGCCACTCTGGAAAACAGTATGGAGGTTCCTCAAGAAATTAAAAATAGATCTACCAAAGGATCCAACAATCCCATTTCTGGATATATATCCCAGAGAAACAAATCATTATCACATAGAGATAGCTGTATTCATGTGTTTATAGTAGCATTATTCACAATAGCCAAAAGGTGGAAGCAACCCAATGATGGATGATTGGACAAAGAAAATGTGCTATATATACAATGGAATATTAGCCTTAAAAAAGAAGGAAGTCCTGTCAACAACATGGGTGAATGTGGAAGGCATTATACTAAGTGAAATAAGCCAGATAAGAAAAGATAAACATTGCATGATATCAGTTATATGTGGAATCTTAAAAAAAAAAAAAAAGTCTAACTCAGAGAACAGAGTAGAATGGTGTTTGTCGGTAGGATTGCCAAGGGAGAGTGAGTAAAATATGGTGAGATTGATAAAAGGGTATAAACTTTCAATTATAAGGTGAATACTGTCTGAAGATCTGGTATATACCGTGGTTAGTATAGTTAATGATATTGTACTTTATAACTGAAATTTGCCAAGAGAGTAGAACTTGAGTGGTCTCACCCCCAAAAGGGGGGGGAATATGTAAGGCGATAGATGTGTTAAATAATTTGATGGTGGGGATCTTTCACAATGTATACATATATGAAATCTTCATATTATATATACTATTTTTTACATACATTGTACATTTTATTTTATTTTTTTAAGGATTGTATTTATTTATTTGAGAGAAAGAGAGCATGAATGGGGTGAGGGGCAGAGGGAGAAACCTACTCCCTGCTGAGCAGGGAGCCTGATGCGGGGCTCCATCCCGGGACTCAAGGATCACGACCTGAGCCAAAGGCAGACGCTTAACCGACTGAGCCACCCAGGTGCCCCACACATTATACATTTTAAATATTACAACAATAAATTCGAAAAAATGAAGCTGCAAAAAAAATACCTGTTTTATGTTTCTCTCAATGATTTTAGACCCTTCTGTACATTACAAATATTTGTGAGTTTCTAACACTGGTTCTATGCTAACTTGCCAGATTAAGACATTTAAGGGGTGCTTGGGTGGCTCAGTTGGTTAAGCGTCTGCCTTTGGCTCAGGTTATGATCCTGGGGTCTTGGGATTGAACCCCGCATTGGGCTCCCTCCTCAACAGAGAGCCTGCTTCTCCCTCTCCCTCTGCTGCTCCCCCTACTTCTCCCCCTGCTTGTGCTCTCTCTCTCTCTGTCAAATAAATAGATAAAATCTTTTTTTAAAAAGACATTTAATATATCAGTGGATCTTAGTTTCTTCAACTGTAAAATTCATGGGTTCATTCATTCATTAATGAGTACCTTCTTTATGCCAATCATTCTTCTAAGCAATAGAAGTACATTATAGTTATTATAAAAGATAAGTTTTCTAATATACTATGATTCTCTTATTACATTCATTCATGTCACCTATGTAATTGAAAGAGAAGCAATTCTGTGAAACTTATTGTCAGAACTCATGAGCCGTCCCTGACTGTAGGGAGGACAGCTTGAAGGTAAAGATGGGAGAAGTTTCAAAACTGGTTCTGGCAGTGAGTTAAGCCCCTGTTTGCTAGATTCAGAAGAGAGAAAGGATGAGGGTATTTCGTTGCTGACGTGAGACTATGATCGTGCCGCATGTGTGTTGAGGCAGGAAGGGTAAATTGTGGGTGCACAAGCGCTGTTGGTAGGCTGCCACATGGTGAGCTCAGTCAAGAAGATGATCAGATGGGAGGCAGTTGAGACAGAAAGAATCAGGGAGGGCACTAAGAAGCCGATGTCCCGCTGAGAAGGAGAAATGGTCCTCCAACAATAATCACGCCACCCAGTTCTAGAAGACTCTGAGTTGGCCAAGATGAGGAGGTAAAGCTAGCCACCAAGGTCCTTCCTTCAGGTTGTCAGAACTCCCAGTTCCTTTTGTCCATCCTTAAAGCGGTAGCCAATCTGGGATTGGCTCTGCCAGTTAACAGAAAGTCAGGAAACACAAAGGACTCACTTTGCCCGAGGAGCTAAGAAATAAACCGATTTTGTTTTGTGTTTTAGAGAAAAATAAAATGGTTTACAATCATTTTGTGTTTAAAGGAAATGAGAGATGTACGTGGTAGGAGAAAATGACGCTGCTGGTCCCAGGGAAACCTTATAGGAAAATAGTGTTCTGCAGGCATCCAGCTGATCTGGAGAATTCCTGTGGAGCCTGGTAAAATAGTGGGCCTGTCCTAGCTCAAGCTCAGTGCCATGTCTGGAACCACGAAGAAAGGGGAAATTCCATTCAGATACTTTCAAGAGCATCCAATTTTTAAAATTTAGCTATGTGATGTCCCACTGATTCTGATTCCATCAGCAACTAAATCTCAGTTCTCATGAGGGAAAGCAACACAACTCACCACTTGGGCCCGGAGGCTCACTCCCATGGACAAAACGAGCCCCTTCTTTTAATTAAATGACCCAATACTTACAGATGAGACTTAGGCTGCTCAGGCTGCCATAAAAGAATACAATATACTGGGTGGCTTAAACAACAGAAATTTCTTTTCTTACAGTTTTGGAGGCTGGGAGTTCAAGATCAAGGGACCAGCATAGTCAGTTTCTAGTGAGAGTGCTTTTGCTGGCTTGTGGACATCATGTCTCTGTGTGTCCACTCGGCCTCTTCTTTGGGCATGCACAAGGGAAAATTTGCAAGCTCTCTGGTGTCTCTTCTTATAAGGGGGCTCGTTCTATTTTGAGGGCCCTGCTCTTATGGCCCCATCTAACCCAAATTGCATCGCAAAGGCCCCACCTCCAAATACCATCCCATTGGGGGTGGCGTAGGGCTTCAACATATGAATTAGGGGGACACAAGTCACTTCATAGTAGGATGTACTTGATTCTTGTCAACTTTACCTACAGATAAATGGACAGGGGTATGGGGCTTTTTGGCTGTTGTCTTGGTAATTTTTTTTTAACTTTTATTTTTTAAGTGATCTCTGCCCTCAACGCTGGACTCAAACTCATGACCCGGAGATTGAGAGTCGCATGTTCCACTGACTGAGCCAGTCAGGCGCCCTTGCCTTGGTCTTTATTAAAGAATAGAGATTTCTAGAAAGTCTAGAAATACCTAATGCCATGTAGCAGCTACTTAGGCTTAGGGCTTAGTGTCAGGAACCGCCTTGGTTTTCATTCTCTTATATCTGAACTCAGTTACAATTATCAACTTGTTACCAACTTTGCTTTTAGGCCGTACATCCTAATGAGTCAAAGGAACAAAGTGGCCTGTTACATCCAGAACTGATTTGACGTTCACAGCTAGACCTTAATATTATTTAGGTGCTGGTCTGCTGCTGGGCTATTTTGTTCTCTTCTTGGACACAATCTTACAGAACATTAACCATCAACAAGATTACTCTGAGAGCATGATAACATGAAAGGTCATTTCATAATTTTGTCTAAGCACAGAGAGAATCAGGGTTACTGTGCCTCCCACAAAACCCCCAATCATAGGATTCTCCCCACTTTCTTTCAGCATCCAATTTAAAGTGAACCCCAGGCTAGGACGCCTGGGTGGCTCAGTTGGTTAAGCGTCTGACTCTTGATCTCGACAAAGGTCTTGAACTCAGGGTTGTGAGTTCAAGCCCCATGTTGGGCTCCACACTGGGTGTGGAGCCTACTTAAAAAAAAAAGTGAACCTTGTTTCCTCAGTCCCTCCCTCAAATAACGCAGCCCAAACCCAAATTCTATAATAAGTTCTTTGCATCACCATCTTACTGAGATATCTTATGGTTCCCCATGATGTGTGTTCTCTCTTACCACAAGGAGTAATGAAATCCAACTTGTTCAACTATAGATGTGTTCCTAGTGGGTGTTTGTCTGAAGGACATTAACATTAGGGTACACTTGACTCTTGAACAGCATGGGTTTGAACTGCACTGGTCCACTTGTATGCAGATTTTTTTTTTACAGTATGGTACTGTGCATGTATTTTCTCTTTGTTTTGCTTTTCTTAATAACATTTTCTTTTCTCTAGCTTACTTCATTGTAAGAATACAGTGTATAATACATATAACATACAAAATATGTGTTAATTGACTATGTTATGGGGAAGGCTTCCAGTCAATAGTAGGCTAGTAATAGTTAAGTTTTTGGGGTGTCAAAAGTTATACAGGGATTTTCTTTTTTTAAAATATTTTTTAAGGGGCGCCTGGGTGGCTCATTTGGTTAAGTGTCTGACTTCAGCTCAGGTCATGATCTCAGGGTCCTGACATCGAGCCCTGCATCAGGCTTCCCACTCAGCGGGGAGTCTGCTTCTTCCTCTCCCTTACCCTCAGCCCGGCCACCCCACTCATGTGCATGTACATGCATGCTCTCTCTCTCTCTCTCAAATAAATATTTTTATATTTTTATCTCTGCACCCAATGTGGGGCTCAAACTCATGACCCTGAGATCAAGAGTCACCTGCTGTCCCGACTGAGCCAGCCAGGTGCTCCCTATACAGAAATTTTCAACCGCATGTGGGATCATCCCTTTTAACCTGCCACATTGTTCAAAAGTCAACATATTTCTGGTTTCAGATAGAAAACAGGATAGAAGTCTGACCTTCAGTTGACAGCAGTTTATGTACTAAGAAGTGTTATTTTTCCAATCCTCTTCTGCAGATCCTCTTTCTACTGGCTGGATCACTGCTGGTGTGTCAGGTGCTAAGCCCTGGCTCCATCTATTCATCCTGATCTGTATTTCATGCATCATGCTGGCCCTGTGCTGTCTTCTGCCAACCCTGTAGAGTTCCTTGCCTGATATACATTCCCAGGACTGGTACTTGACAGGTAGGAACCCGGTCTCTTTCCTTGAAGTCTAGACAGTGTAGATGCTCCACTGGGTTATTCAGAGTTAAACTATTTTACTCACAAAAAGACTGCCTTTACCCATTCCATTCTCCTGACATGTGCTGGAGTCACATCAAAAGAGACAGAAATGTATTTGTTCAATTAGTCAAGCAAATTTGAATTAGGTGCCTAGGGTGGGTAGAGCACTGTGTAAGGTTTATTTAGAGCCCCAGCCAGGAAGATGAAACAATTTTTCTCTCCAAGAAGCTTTCTGTTGGGAAAGATACACACAATCACATCAGGAAGCAAAGTGAAATGCTAAAATATAGGAAAAAGAAAAGTGCAGATGATTTCAGTATAATTTTAAGGGGGATTGGTCCCAATATTTCCTTATTTCATTGGAATTTTATCCTCCCAAATAAATGGAAAATTATATTTACTTCTGCTTGTTTCTCTGACTGTTGCAATAAACAGAATATTATGGAGATGTGGGGTACAATTGATTTCCATAATGTGTAAGAAGTTTCAAAATATGAGTGTTTGATTTCTTAGGATCTCCAATTGTATCTTAATAAGTACTATAACCTAGTGATTCTCTGAGACACACTGATTTCTCAAGATTTTTCTTAACGTCTTAGAGTAGACTGTAAAAGAACTTAAAATAAAAAAAATTAAAACCCAGAACTGGGGTAACAGTAGTTGGTTTCCAAATTTTATTTTTCCAAGCTAGGGTAGTGTGATACGATGAGAGAAGATTCTGGAGCTATACTGTCTGGATTTGAATTCAGACCCCACTCTTTAACTAGCAGTATGACCTTTAGAAAGGATTTGATTTACCTCTGCCTCATCTATAAGACAAGGATGATAATAGTGCCTACTTAATAAGATTTATGTAAGGATTAAATGAGTTAATTATATAATGTATTTAGACCAGTGATGGGCACCTAGAAAGCACTGTATACATGCAACTATAACTATTATTAAAAGCTTTAAATAATAATACATGGTGGTTACCACCAACATTCTGTTACAAATCAAATGAGGTTTAACACACATAAAATGAGATCTAACAATAAAGATGGAATCATTACATTTCCCTTTTAATTTAATTTAATTTTTCAATTCTCTGGATCCTGATGAATGCTTTATCATGGACCAGCATTCAGGCACTTGAGAGACATTGACTTGTAAAAATAATGAAGTGTAAACATAACGCAAAAATAAAAAGTCTAAATATTATGTTTCAAATAGGAAAACACAGAGAGATCATCAAGCTAGTTATGAATAGTAAAACCAAAAGTAGAAACCATACTTCCCAATTACCAGGCCACTGCTGTTGGGATTAACTCTCCGTACTAGCAATGCAATACAAGTTGTGATCATCATTAGTCCTGTTACCAGATACTTCCAGTTCTCCTGGGCATGTTGTCGAAGCAAATTTCCCTGACCCTTTGAAATTAGGTGGAGACGTATGATTTGCTCTGACTGATGAAATGTGAACAGAAGGAATGTGTGTTGCTCCTGAGTAGAAGCTTTAAGAGCCAGTGCATGATTCACTGCACTCCGGTTCACCTCAGCAAATGGGCAGGTATAGAGCTGGAGTCCCCCTGAGCCTGGATTACTGAGAACAACAGCGAGCGGAACCCTCTGCTGACCTACAGTGAACACTCAGTGTGAATAAGAGCCTTTGTTGTTTTAAGCCATTGAGATTTGAGGGCTGTTACTAGGGCACAGTATAGCTGCTCCTCTTTGATATATATGTGGTTGTGTTTATAGATGCATATATACCCTCTCCCCTTTGACACACACACACACACACGCACACACGCACACCAGAAGGAAGTTGACTTTCACCTGGAATTCTACCCACTCCAACTGAAATAGCATTGTCTCCGTGGCACCTTCCTTCACGCTTCTATTCCCCTTGCATACCAACGTTACAGGCAGCTCTAATTCAAGCACAGAATTTGTTTGCAAGTGATGACCCTCTTGGAATCATTGCCAATATATTACCTACTGACAAATGTGTTCTTTGTATATGGATAGCTCCCTTGGTGCCCCCAAAAGCTCAGGAGAGAGGAAAATGCAAAGATAATCTGCTGAAGAACAACCTCTTCTTCCACTTAAAAACTGATCTTGGAAAAGCCAGGCTCTGCATAACCTGCTAGAGTTAAATTAGAGGTGGTTGGGGGCACCTAGGTGGCTCAGTCAGTGAAGCGTCTGCCTTCAGCTCAGGTCATGATCCCGGGGGCCTGGGATCGAGCCCCACGTTGGGCTCCCTGCTCGGCGGGGAGCCTGCTTCTCCTTCTCCCACTCCCCCTGCTTGTGTTCCCTCTCTCGCTGTGTCTCTCTGTCAAATAAATAAAATCTTAAAAAAAAAAAAAGAGTATGTACATGCAAAACTTACACCGAACATTATCCTTAATGGTAAAATATTGAGGGATGCCTGGGTGGTTCAGTGGGTTAAGCATCTGCCTTCGGCTCAGGTCATGATCCCGGGGTCCTGGGATCGAGCCCCATGTTGGGCTCCCTGCTTGGTGGGGAGCCTGCTTCTCCCTCTCCCACCTGCTCATGCTCTCTCTCTCAAATAAATAAATAATAAAATCTGAACAAAAAATTGGAGGTGGATGTTCAGGCCTTCATGATGCTGAGATTCAAAGTCAAATGGTCACTGCATTGGCACTGCACCTACTCACACACAGTGATGCTCATTCCCATTTACAGTGAGAGGTTATATACCTATAGACAGAGGATTCTATATTGTTTTCTCCAGCAGAACCTCAGTCCCCCATCCTTCATTGTGTTCTGAATAATTTTATTCTATTTATTTTGAGTTGGTCAGGGAAAGTCAGTGGAGAGGGTATCATATGTAATAATGGTTGTCAACCCTCATTGCACATTGGAATCACCTTGTAAGTTTTAAAATTATAGATGCCTAGGCCCCGCCCTCAGATACTCTGGTTTAATTGGTCTGATGTGTGTCACAGACCTGAGAATTTTGTTTAAATCTGTTTAGATGATTTTTTTAAAAAGATCTTATTTATTCATTTGACAGAGAAAGACACAGCTAGAGAGGGAACACAAGCAGGGGGAGCGGGAGAGGGAGAAGCAGACTCCCTGCCGAGCAGGGAGCCCGATGCGGGACTCGATCCAGGGACTCCAGGATCATGACCTGAGCCGAAGGCAGTCGCCTAACCAACTGAGCCACCCAGGCGCCCTGTTTAGATGATTTTAATGTATAAATGGCTTTAAGAAGATTGTGTGGGTTTCCCAGGAGACAGACTGATGGAGATATGCATGTTGACAGTTTATTTTGGAATACCCTGGAGCTCAGCATTAGTTGGGCAATTAGGAAGTAGGTTTGCCAATGGCAAGATTTCATTCCTTTTTATGGCTGAACAATATTCCTTTAGAATTGTGGAATCACTATATTGTATACCTGAAACTAATATAGTGCTGTATGTTAATTATACTGGAAGTTAATTAATTAATTAGCCACTTAGTTAATTACCCAAAGAAGCAGATTTGACAGAGGGAGAGGTTTAACCGTGATATAGTCACAACAAAGGCCTCAGGTGACTCTACGGGAAGCTCCAGAACTGGGATGGCCCTTTAGAGTTGTCCTGAATTGAGGCAAGGGGGCAGCACTTCACTTGTTTTGCAGTAACTAGTCGTTGGATTTGGTCATTGCTCTGGAAAAGGGGCGTGATGTTGGGCAATAAACAAGACAGACAAGGTCTGTACCATCCTGGATTTTACTCCATAATTGGGGAAGTCAGAAATAAGTACATAAATAGAGAAACAATATAATTAATGAGGACTGGTACTATTAATGAAAAAATTAAAGGACGGTAGTGACTGGGAGAGGCAGCATAATGTTGAGGTTAAGGACAAGAACCCTAAAGCCTGACTGGTTGTGGTCCAATCCTGGCATTGCCATTGCTTGCTAAGACCCGAGGCAAATTAAAGCCTTTGTGATTTATTTTATAGAGTTTCCTCATCTATAAAATCAGAATCACAGTAACCAATTTACAAAGTTGTTGTAAGGACTAAATTAGTTAACTTGGGTTGTTTCTGGTTATTCGAGAGTGCTTGGCACATAGTTTCCAGAAAGGGTTAGTAGTTAGGATTATTGTTACAGGGCAGAGAGCAGGGTGGTTAGGGAGGACCTTGTTGAGAAGGTGGCATTGGATCACCTTCTCATTATTCAAACTGAATGATGAGATAGAGACCGCTCTGAAAATGTCACAGAATGTCACGATAACAGACAAAAAGAAGAGCAAGTAAGAGGCTCTGAGTGGGGAAAGACGTTGGCTTGTTACAGGAACAGAAAGAAGGCCAATGTATTCAGAGTGTGTGAGGAAGGGAGGTTTGAAGCCTGAGAAGTAGGTATGACATAATAAGAAATGTGTATTTGGTTTTTTCCCCAGTTCCTGAACACAGAGCTCTATAACCTTTAAAATTTCATGAGGTGTAATTCACATATCTTGTTATTCCTCAAAGTCCCTCTCAACCATATTTGAGTTTATGCTAATGAGGTTACCCTTGGTGGGCTTCTAGAGAGCTTCGGGTTGGGGGCTGGTTGCCAGAGGAACCAGCCATGTGATTAGAGAGTCTCAACTTTTAGGTACACCCCTGGACCTCTGAGGAGGGGAGATGGACTGGGAGTGGAGTCAATGATTTAATCAATCATGCCAATGAAATGAAGCCTCCATAAAACCCCTAAGTGATAGGGTTTGGAGAACTTCAGAGTTGGTGAACACATCCATGTGCTGGGAGGATAGTGCATCCCAACTCCATGGGAACAGATGCTCTTGTGCTCAGGACCCTTCTGGACCTCACCCTAGGTACTTCTTCCTCTGGCTGTTCATGCATATCCTTTATAATAATTCACTTATATCCTTTATAATGAACTGGTGATGTCTTTTAAAGATTTATTGATTTATTTGAGAGAGAGAGAGAGAGTATGTGTGTGAGCAGTGGGGAGGGACAGAGGGAGAGGGAGAGAGAATCTTAGGCAGACTTTGTGCTGAGCAGCAGAGCCCGACATGAGGCTCAATCTCATGACCCTGAGATCACAATCCGACCAAAACCAAGAGTTGGGCGCTTAACCAAGTGCACCACCCAGGCGCCCCAATAAACTGGTGATATTAAAGTATCTTCCTGAGTCCTGTGAGTCATTTTAGCAAATTATCAAACCTGTAGGGGGGTTGTGGCAATACCGTCTTTGTAGCCAAGTCACACGGAACTGTAGTTACCCTGGAAACCCAATACTGGTGACTGGCAAAGTGAGGGTTGGCTTGTGGGGCTGTGCCCTTAAAACTGTGGAGTGTGACACTAATTCTGGGTCATTAGCATCAGAATTGAAGTGAAGGACATGCAGTTTGTGTCTGGAGTTGGAGAACTGTTTTTTTTTTTTTTTTTTAAAGATTTTATTTATTTATTTGAGAGAGAGAGAGAATGAGAGAGAGCAAGCACATGAGAGGGGGGAGGGTCAGAGGGAGAAGCAGACTCCCTGCCAAGCAGGGAGCCCGATGCGGGACTCGATCCCGGGACTCCAGGATCATGACCTGAGCCGAAGGCAGTCGCTTAACCAACTGAGCTACCCAGGCGCCCTAGAGAACTGGTTGTTGATGTGGAAAACCTCCACACATTTGGTGTCAGAAGTGTGAGAAAAAACAGCTCAGTAAGCTCTGACCAGATGAGATTGGGCAGCAATAAAGACTTATTACCCATTTTTGTGTGTATATCACTGTCACCACCCTCCCCCATCCCAGATGTTGGCTACTTTTGTAAAGGGCCTATTGTGGATGCTGGGATATACTGCCTAGATGCCCCCTCCAGGACTGAAGTACCCATTCGCCCAGCTGCTGGGAGCACAACTGGCACAGAAGTCTCAGCTGTCAGCAGTCTTCCCTGGAATTCCTGTTGGCATGAGAGAGATGCTTCACCCAAAATTATACCTTCCTTCCAGGGAAAGCCTGCATCCAGTGGCTGGTTGATTTCAGGGTATAAAAGCCCAGCTCACTTGCCCCAATGGGGGACCACTCAATCAAACCATTTCAGCTTCAGAGTTCCCTACTAATTGGGCTGAGGCCTTTCTTGTCACTACATCACAGCCTAATGTTGCCCATTGCCCAATCTTGCTTCCTTCTTACCTTTCACAGGTGCTGATCCCAAGATTAATCCCATAACGTTACTGATGCTAATCTTCATCTCAGAGCCTCCTTTTTTGGGACCACAACTTGTAGTAAGTACCATGTCTAACACATCTTACATCCAGTGCTGTGCACATATCCCAGAACATCAACAAATATTTGTCACATTAATAGATGCATAATAGCAAAGGGTAGTAGTGGATATCAAGATGGGCTGGGAGACAGTGTTGGTGGTGGGCTGAGTGATGCAAAGTAGGTGAGACAATGGAGTATCATAAAAAGGAGGCCCAAGCCCAGGAGGGGGATGAAACCTTCCAGTCTTCTTTCTGAGTTCAGCATAGGACTTAAGCCAGCATATATTTATTTGAACTACCAGTGCAGCAGTTTTGACGGATGAATACAAACTTGTGTGACCACCAAAATATCAACCATTTACCTTTGGGGGCCCTTTCGTCTGTGTTACCCTAAGCCAAGAGGCAGAACGTGGTCATTTTATTGGTTATGTGACCTCTTCCTCCTCAGCTCATCTAACAAACCCCAAATCCTGAGATATGAAAGTGAGATGGCTGCCAGAGGAGGGGTAGCTGATTTCAACAAGCTCAAAGAGCATGTGGTAATGCAGAGTGCTTCCTGATGTGCATACAGGTGACAGTGATCAAGAGCGGGGACATGGAGTGACCACAAAAGCATTATCAGTTCACCAAGGTGGTCAGTCAACTTAGAGCCTTATCTGGCTAGACAGATTAGTCAGACAGATATGAACGTGCTCCAGTCCCCATGCTTCAGCTAAAAGTGGAATGTCGGGGCTCCCTAACAGGTGTTGTCACAGTTCAAAGGGTGGCATCAGACTGCTATCCACACTCTTGAGCCAGCCCTGGGTGACTGAGTAGAAGAAAACAACATGCTTCCTCTCATTACTGCGACAGTCACAGTGAACAAAGCTATATAATACCTGGGATCATATGTATTTCCTGGAGTGAGGTTCAGCACAAGTGAAGACTAGTTGGGTAGGCATGACCCCCAGCAAAACCTAGTGCTCCACTCACCCACCCTGGGTGCCTTCCCAGCCCTTCCCCATCTCCTTCCTCTCAGGAACTGCTTCCATGTACTTCCACTCCCTATTGTGATTTCCTGTTTGGGAAGGTGTTTGTGTGTGTATGTGTGTGTGTATTTATGTGTATTAAAATATAACTACATAAGTTCAAGCCCCACGTTGGGTGGAGAGATTACTTAAAAATAAAATCTTAAAAAAATATATAACTACATAAAGTGCATAAATCTTAAATGTACAGCTCAATGAAATTTTACATGTGCATACACCTATATAACCACCACCTCATATTAAGATATAGAACATTTCCAGCTTCCCAGAAGGCTCTCTTATGTACTTTCCCAGCAAATCCTGCAAAGGTGACCATTATTTTGACTTCTGTTGTTGTTGATTATCTTGTCTGTTTTTGAAGTTCTTGGAAGTGGAATTATACAGCATGTGCTGTTTTATGACTAACTTCTTTTGTTTAATTATTTGATGGTGAGTGGCGCCTGGTGGCTCAGTCAGTTTAGCATCTACCTTCGGCTCAGGTCATGATCTCAGGGTCCTGAGATTGATCCCTGCATCAGGCTCCTTGCTCAGTGGGGAGCCTGCTTCTCCCTCTCCCTCTGCTTGCCACTCCCCCTGCTTGTGCTCTCTCTCTGTCAAATAAATAAATAAAATCTTTAAAAAAATAATTTGTGAGATTTTTGTAAGTGCTGGTGGCAGAGGTTTGAGCTTTTCCATTGTTGTGAATAGTTATTGTATGTGTATATATATCAATTTATTGCTCAATTCTATTTAATTGACTGTTTATGTTTACCTGTTACAAATAACCTTGCATTGAACAATCTTGAACATGTCTTTTGGTGAACATAAGCACTCATTTCTCTTGTGTATATACTCAGTTGTAGAATTGTTCATGTAAAAGGGATAGGATGTTTTGAGCTTTACTAGAAACTACCAAACAGCTTTCAAAGTGGTTGTATAATTTTACACTCGCATCAGCAATGTATGAGATTTCTCATCAATCTCCATTCTCACCAAACTCAGTATTGCCAGTACTTTTAAGTTTGAACATTCTAGTGGGGGCATCTGGGCAGTATTTTATGATCTAGACTCTTACCTTCCTTTGAAGTTCAAATTTACCCACCCCATTTTTTAAACAAAATAGGAATTATAGAGAACAAACCGATGGTTTACCAGAGGGGAGGTGGGGGTGGGATGGGTGAAACAAATGATGGGAACTAAGGAGCACACTTAACAGTGATGAGCACCGGGTGATGTACGGAAGTGTCACATCGCTATATTGTACACCTGAAACTAATATTCCACTGTATGTTAACTAACTGGAATTTAAATAAAAACTTAAACAACAACAACAAAACAAAAATAATAAATGAGTAAAAAAGCAAGAAAGAGGGCTCCTGGGTGGCTCAGTTGGTTAAGCGACTGCCTTCGGCTCAGGTCATGATCCTGGAGTCCCTGGATTGAGTCCCGCATCGGGCTCCCTGCTCAGCAGGGAGTCTGCTTCTCCCTCCGACCCAACCCCCTCTCATGTGCTCTCTCTCATTCTCTCTCTCTCAAATAAATAAATAAATAAAATCTTAAAAAAAAAAGCAAGAAAGAAATAGTAAGGTAGGATGTGCTCACTGACTACATACATGTAACAAGCAGTAGTCAATGGATATCATTCAAAACTGATAAAATAAATAGAAGCCTATGTAAAGTAAAATGGGACTAACAGCAATATCAAAGGAAATAGTATTATGAAAACCAATGGAACAAAAAAATACAAATTCCATAAATAGCAAAAGAATTTGAAAAATAATAAAAGGAAACAGACTGCATAGAGAAACATGGTAAATATGGGATCATACCACAGGAAAAATAAAATTACAGAGTTGAGATCACATATATTAGTCATATTAATACATGTAAAAGAGCTTAAATCACCTTCTAAAAGAAAGGAATTTTCCAGTTGATGTTCAAAAATTATTTTGCTTGTGCTACATACACAAACATAATAAACAAAGTGATTCATAAAGATTGAAACATGTAAAGTATAGCAAAAATATACAAACAAACCAAAAAAAAGGTGTTTCAATCCTCATACCAGACAAAGTATGCAAGGAGAAATAGAAACACAATAATAATAGATAAATTTAACACACCAGTTGCAGCCCAAGACAAGTCACGTGGACCAAAAAAATCAGTAAAGATGTGGAAGATCCAGAAAACATCATTAAGTTAGGTCACGTGGACTTCGAATTTTTCACTCAAATGTTCAAGAATATGCCTTTTTCAACCACACATGAAAATTCATAAAAAATAAACCATAAATTATGTCACAAAAATCTCTCAGTATGTTTCATAAAGTAGAAAGAATATCACAGAATTTCCACAGTGCCATAACAAAATCAGATAACAAATAGGCCCTTTCACTTGAGAATTTTAAAACTCTATAAATCACCCTATTGTAAAATAAGAAATATAAATCAAAACTGTAGAATTTCTTAAATGTAATCATAATGAAAACATATATTAGAATATGTGGGAAACAAACTAGTGAACAGTTCAAAGACTACATTGCCTTAAATCTGAGCAATAAAAATAAAAGAATGCATATACATGAACTCAAATCTATAAAACCAACAGCATTGTAATTCAGAAGAAATCAGACCGAACGAATCAATAGAGATAACAAGAGGTATGAATGAAGCACAAACCAGAAAAACAGCAGGAATAATAAATAAATCAAAATGCTGCCCTGCAAAAGTAAAAAAAAAAAATAGACAAACCACTAATTATCCTAATTAAGAAAAAAGGGGAAAAGTCACAAATAAGCACAATAAAACCTGACAAGGAGGGAGGAAACATTGAGATAGAAGGACTTCTTAACCATGAGACTACTGTCTTTGCGGCCGCCAAACACTAGATGTAGGAGAGCTGACTGAAGTAGGTACTGCTCTCAGCACCAAAGTTAACTTCTGCACCAGGAGCTCAACTCTCCTGCTCCTGTCTCCCTTGACACCTAGATGCTTCTGCAAGGACCCTACCCTGGAAAGTGGACTAGGCATGGAAACTGCTCACCACCAAATCAAATCAGCACTAGTATGTTTGAGTGACATGACTGTGCCCTAGCTAAAAGGAACCTGTGGGGGTGAGTGGCATGGGTTCTAATGAAGAGAGATGAGATTTGAATTCTCCAGACATTCAGAGGTGTCCAAAACGTTCTGGGCAACCATGGCAAGTATTAACTTCAAACGTTCTGCTTCATGCCTGCTTCATGAGGAATTACAAAATTGTTTGTTTTTGTAAATAATTAGAAACAACCTAAATACCCATCATTGGAGAGATGGTTAATTCAATGATGAAAAATTCTTACTTTGGTATGCTATGTAAAAATAAAAGATGGTGAAAGTTCTGTGTGTGTTTTCAAGGAATAGTATCTAGTAAGGCTTTATGTAAACAAATTCTAGATATGGAAATAGATGCACCTATATGCACATATATGTTTGTGAACCTTAATAGCATGCTCCTATTCATATTCATAAACATATGCAAATATATGCATATGATTCTATACAAACACAGAAAAAGGACTGAACAGATATACATCCAGCTGTTAAATCTGATTACCTTTCGGTGGGAGAGACTGGGTTGAGTGTTAGAGGCACAAAAAATGGAACATTCATATTTAATTCCCTATGACGTTTAATGTATAAATTTATTATCATAAGACTATATTTGTGTTTGGCTAGTGAATTTCTAAAACATTAAATTTATGGGGAGGATAAAGATTTAGAATATAAATAAGTAGCCCATATGATCTACAAATTTGACTCCAAGGTTCTTTTTTTTTTTAAGATTTTATTCATTTATTTGAGAGAGCGTGTGAGAGTATGAGCAAGGGGGGGTTGGTGTGGGGAGCAGCAGAGAGAGGGAGAGGCAACCTCCTTGCTGAGCCAGGTGACCTAAGCCAAAAGCAGATGCTTAACCTACTGAGCCACCCAGGCGCCCCAACTCCAAGGTTCTTAATGGCCAAAGTAAAAATGGCAA